TCTTGACAATGTCTAACAGAAGCTATACTTCCCTCTTGGACACCGCATATACCCGTAAGGGATTCCCTGTGCTGTGTTGTCGTTATAGTGTGAAAATTAAGAAGGCTTTCACCTATAACAATGTAAAACTTACTATTCTTTTTAGTTTATAGTTTTCTAACTTTATATAATCTATTAGTTAAATCATCTATTCATTTCATTCAAAGTTTTTAATTCTATTATTATATATTCTTAAATTGGACTTTCTTAATATTAACATTATTTGTTAATAAATTATATCTTATTTGATTATTTCTAACTCTGTAGCTATATTAATAACTATATTCTTTTTGTATAAATCTTGTTTTTGGTTTTAAATAAAAGTTCTATATAGATATTTTTTCTAACTATAATTCTAACAAAGTTGTTGTTATTTTTTAAACTTAAACTTATGATTTTGCAATTGAGATCTAAAAGTGCTAACTACTATGTTATTAATTTACAAATCAATATATATATATTTTTTTTTACTTCTTTTTTTTTAAAAAAAATTTAGTTAATCTTTTTATTTTGTTTTTTATTATTATTTATTTATTTTTTTTATTTATTTATAAACTTATATTAGAGTTAAAGTTCTATAGCCTAGTGGTCTAGATATCCTGCTTTTTACAAACAAGATTAATAGTTTAATTTTAGCTAAAGCTAAAACTTTGTAATCTACAAAACTATATGAATATACACAAAGCTTTGTAACTAAAATTTATATAAATAAAAAATTAGTATATAAGAAGCTTTTAGAAAGAAGCTTTTTAATATAAAGAGTTGATACTTAATATAAAAGAAGTGATAAATATACTAAAAATGAAGAAAAGACATATTAGTAAGTAATATAATAAACATAAAAGAAAGTTATAAGAAAGGAATAAAATTGAACATCTTTGACATTAAACTAGTTTTAGTAGACACAAAATATACTAAAATTGAATAAATCTAAGAAGTAATCTTGATATCATACTTAATAAGTCTGCATCAAGAGTAAATTTAAAGAACTATAAATACTTAGTAACATCCAATAAGATGATATTTTGATATAAATAGTAATTAAATAACCCTAACCTAATATATTACTATAATAATAATTTAATATTGTATATATATACAAACAAGTATTAAAAAGCAGAAAGTTTAAATAAAAGACCTACAGACAGATTTTAGATATAGCATCTAGTAAGTAATCTTTAGACAAAATTCTTAATTAGATAATAATTAAAGTTATATATTAGCTAGTTGTACTTTTGTTAATAGACTTTATATAAAAATATAATTATATATTACTAATAAAAAGACATATAAGCAAGATTACTACTTCAATCTAAAAAAATATAAAAAACTTTTTCTTGTTAATATTAGATTAGGAAAGATAAATAAAAACAACAATTATAAATTCAATAAAAAGAAACTTAAACTTATTAAATAAGATACTACTAAAGGCCAAAGTCTTTGTTTTAAAAAAAAAAGCTTTCTTGAAGAATAGAGCTATTACTAACAAAAAAAATTTCAAAATACAATAACTTGATCTTAAAAAAGATAAATATACAAACAACTTTCTCACTAAAAAAATAAACAACATAAATATTAAATATATTTTAATAGCTCAAAAAAAAGTAAAATTAGCAAAAGATGAAAATCTAGTTTTAGTAATAGTAGTTTAAAATATAAAAAACTGGTTAAAAAATATAATTCAAAATAAAAAAAGTGCTTGGATTTTAGAAAACATATCTAAATATAGAAATAAAACAGGTGATCAAAATAAAAACAACAATAATAGTCTCATGCAAGATACAATAACTAAAGTATCATTATTATAAAAACTCAGCTAGCAGACAAAGTTACTCAAAGCTATGCCTTAGTAACTAAACAAAACACAAACTTGATTACTAAATTAAAAAAAGAAAAATTAATTCTTATTGCTTTCTTATCTAAAAATTAAGTTCGATTTAAAAACAATAATGCATTAATTATTAAAATTTCTAGTCTTTATAGTTCTCTTAATGAAATTATGATCTTTTTATATGAAGAACTAGAAAAAGACATAGTAGCTGCTAAACAGTATTTTAGAAAAAACCTAAGATTCTATCTTGAAATCATATTCTTAAACCAAGACTAACTAACATATTATGTTATTAAAGAAGTTAAAATTTTTAATAAAATCTATTATAGATATATTTCTACAGATATATACAAGTTTTTTCTTTTAATCAAAATAAGAAATATTCCTTTAAGCATCAAAGAACAAGTTTTTATGCTAGTTAAAAAAGTATTTATAAATTTTAGAAAAATTGTTTTGATTAAATTATTACTTATTAAAAGTATTTTATATATAATAGACCAATAGATTGTTATTTTTAATAATACAGAAGACTCTGAATTGAAACAAAAAATCTTTCACTTTACATATATTAAAGACAACAGAATTATTACTAAGTAAAAAGAGATACCAAAAGTATACTACTTTTATAATTAAACTGATTATATCAAGAAAAATTGCTTACAATTTCAAAAAACAAAAAAGTTAAAACAATATTTTTAAGAACTTAAAAATAAAAAAAATCTAAATAAAACACAAGATAAGATCATTACAAAAGTTCAAATGAATATTAATAATGAAAATTTCACAATTCAAGAAATAGTAAAAAATAACAACACAAAGACAGCATTCAATTAAGAACAAACAACAGAATTAGAAAAGAACTCTGTTACAAATAATATAAATGCTAAAACAGAATTACTTACAGATAATAAGCTGATCATAGACATTTGTCCTACCAACTCAGTTCTAGAAAATGACAATACAAATCAAAAAGATGATCATATAGTTAGTTAAGAAAATACTAAAAATAAAACTTTTATACTAGTAATAAGAAAAAGAAGAAAACATAAGAATGCAAAACCTTATAGCATAATTAACAAAGAAAACCAGAATAATAAATCAAAACAAAAAGCCTAAGAAAGCTCTAAAAATTATTAATTTTTTATAAACAATATATTAATTAAAATTATTACCTTAAATATTAAAGATTTAAATAATCTAAACAAATGACTTAGAACATTAATATTATTAAAATCTTATAAATTAAATATTATTTTCTTATAGAAAACAAACATTTTCAATATTGCAACATAGCAATTTTTGAAAGACCAATAATCTTTTGATTTAATTTGAATAAACAGAACAGCAATATTAGCAAAAAACAAGAAGATAATGTTTAAAAATATCAAAAAATCTTTTAAAAACAGAATTATTTTAATTTGTTTTATTTTTAAAAAATTTTTTTTTTATATAATTAACATATATGCACCACTAAATGCTTTAGACAGAGCTGTATTTTTTGACAAATAAAATATAAACAAAAAATAAAATATAATCAACATTATATCAAAAAATCTAAACACAAATTTAAATCTAAAAATAAATAGAAAAAGTTAAGCAACTGCTTAAAATAATTTCTTAAGATATCTGTTAAAAGAAATAACAAAGAACTATATTGACTTAGTTTTTTTTTTCTACAAAAATCCTTTTTTACTTTTCATCAAAAAATATACAATAATTACTGTAAAAGTCGGACATGTATACCCCCCATGCGGTGTATCCCTTATCAGTTTGAAACACCCGATCATGATTTATACCCAGGTATTATATATATCTTCTAATTATACAACGTTACGCACTACATATAATATAGACAAAATATAAGCGCGATGCCATAATTATTGTAATTATAATGAATTATGATATTTTTTGTCATAATTCATTATAATTATGATCAATTACGGCATTGTGCTCATACTCCTAGTTTGGTTTACTGGCAAAATAAAGATAACAAGATCAAAACCTATTTATTGATTCAACAATGTAATTTAATATAGCAAACAACAATGTAATTTAATATAGCAAACACAATTTTAATTTATAATGTATCACAAGTATCATTTTTTATTTCATTACTAATGTAGTACACTACTTCATATCGAATATTAATAAAATACACATATTGCATTTGATAGTAAGCAAACTTTATATAGCAAACAAATCAGTTTTATTTAAAACAAAAAAAAAATTGAAATTTGAAAAAAAAATTGAAATTTGATCATTATTCCTAATTATTATTGCCTTCGGTTTCTTCATACTCTTTACCATTAATATCATCAAGCTTCTCAATACTTTCTTCATTCGCATTTTCCAAATCTTCACCCAAAGCTTCATAGTCAAACACTAAATCATCTTCAGACCCGTCCATTTCTACTGAGATACTGCAACACTTAAATGACTTTCTAATTAAACAAGGACTAATCTCATTCTATGATTCTTTTACTCATTGAGCTAAAGTGGAATATGATGGCTTTCGAATACGTCCAGCAAGTGTAAATTGATGAGAGTTGTTGATCATCCATTGGTTATAACGAAAACGCACCTATTATTTAAATTGTTATTAATGTACTCTATAAATAATAAATATTTTAATATACTATACCTTTTCCTTAAAACATTTGTTTATTGCAACATCAAGAGGTTGCAATTTACTGGTTAGTCCACCTGGAATAACCATGGTATGAGTATTGTTTTCGTGAAATTGATGTTTAACAGGGTCTACAGTATAACCTCTAAACGAATCCAAAATAAGAAGAGATTGGGGGCTTTCTAATTCACTGTGCTTAGACCACACATTATTGATCCAATATTTCATTTCCTCTTCATTGCACCACCCTTTTCCATTTACACGAATAACAACACCTTCAGGAAAAATTTCATAGGGAATGTTCTTTAATTTAAAAATGCATACTGCTAGAAGCTTTCTTCCATCAGCAAGATATCCCAAAATTACAGTAAAGGAGGTCTTTTTATTCCTAGTTGTCTGGATGCTTACTGTTTTGGCCCCACATTTCTTGAGAGTTACCAGGTAAGGCAAGTCAAATGCCAAAGATGTTTTATCCATATTTCCAATATATTGGATATTATAATTGTATTGACAGCGTTTAAACAAAACTAAGCTTAAAAACTCATTTTGTTTGTCGATAAGATCTTCAGAAAGGTGTTGCGAAATTGTTGTGTGCCAGCGATTTGATAACTCATTATGATACAAAAATCTACAGAGCCAACTATTAGAAAACTTAAGATTATCAATATTAGGATATATATCCTTTATCTCATTAGTTTGAGCCAATTTTTTTGCCCTTTTAATAACCATATTTCGTATAATGGCTGCCTGTTTTCTACGAAGCACATTGACCCATTCAACTAGCCTTCTTTCTAAAAGGGGATACAAAGCTGGTCGGCCAGGATTGAGTGTTAAAAGATAAGGTGCTGCATTTAAAAGTTTTTGCTTCTTACTTCGCCAGTCACGAACTTGTTTAGGTTCAATATCAAATCGCTTTGCAGTTGCTCTTACATTTTTAATACATTCAAAATAATAAACCACCATAAGTTTTTTGCGAACACTCCAGTTACGCTGAACCTTCTTACTAATAGCATGAGCTTTTTTTTTAATATTTCTATTTCGTGAAGACATTTTTTTTTAACACATTCAGGAGAATTAGTGTGGTTTAAGTTTTTATTTAAGGAGAATGTTGCACAACATATGTAGTGATATTTCAGAGAACTTATATTTTCAAAAAGAAAAAATTCAAATCCAATTACCGAGCCATTAGGGTAGAACCCTAGAGCTGATGTCCTGCTTAAGGCAATTGGGCACACCTTCATACAGTTTATTCATGTTCAAAACAATAAATTCAAAGAGAAAAAAATTACACAGGCAGTAAAATCAAAAAAAATTTGATTTAGAAAAAAAAGTCCAAACCCAATTACTGAGCTGTTAGGGTACAACCCTAGAGCCAATGTCTTGCTCAAGGCAATTAGGCACACCTTTATATAGTTCATTCATGTTCATAGCAATGAATTTAAAGAAAAAATACACGAGCAATAAAATCAAAAATGATTTGAAAAAAAAAGTCCAAACCCAATTGCCGAGCTGTTAGGGTAAAACCCTAGAGCCAATGTCTTTCTCAAGGCAATTAGGCACGTTTTCATACAGTTCATTCATGTTCATAACAATGAATTTAAAGAAAAAAAATACACAGACAGTAAAATCAAAATGATTTGAAAAAAAAGTCCAAACCCAATTGCTGAGCTGTTAGGGTAAAACCCTAGAGCCAATGTCTTGCTCAAGGCAATTTGGGCACATCTTCAAACAGTTAATGTTTATGACAATGGATTCAATAAAAAAAATCCAAACCCAATTATCGAGCCGTTAGGGTATTATCCTAGAGCTGATGTCCTGCTCAAGGCAATTGGGCACATCCTCAAATATGAGTGAACGGTTTAAAAAATGACTGAAAGAACGTTAATATTCGACACACTTGATACTTTTAGAGAAATGCTTTAAATACCCTTTTTTTTTTAAGAATTTTTATCACTGCAATTTACTGCTTCAATCATATGAATGGCATCAGAATGCTATCTATTATAGGAAAATGTAACACCAGGCTTTCAAGTTTATCATTGACTATTTATTGGATTCAGCCTATAAAAAATCTGATTAGTGATATAATATATATCTTATGCATTACTAATCAGATTTTTTATGAGTTGAATCTGATGAATAATCAATAGTAAACTTGAAAGCCCGATATCATATTATCTTTTAGTGAAGCATATGAAAATATAATAGCAGTGAAAGTTCAATCAACTACTTACTCCTGACTTGTGTACCTCATCAATACGGTGTACCCCTGTATAGAGGTACCCTGGGTACAGAATTGAGCAATGAAAATACCCAGGGTACATGTGTCCAACTTTTACGATAAATAATTGCTACTCAGTTAGATTATTTATTTATAGATAAAAATTATAGCCATTTTAAATCAGAAACAAAAACAAGATTTGAAAACTCAAATCATCTCTTGGTTAAATGCACTCTAAGTCTAAAACAAAATTCTAAACATTCCATTATTTGAAAATTTGATTCAAACTTCTTTAAAAACAGCTTGCTAAAGAAAGAAGTACTAAAAAAAATTAAAGATGCTATCCTTGCAACAGATTGAGATATGTATAAGATTTATAACAAATTAATTATAAAAACTTTCAAAAAACTTAAGGTCTTGAAAGACAAAATAGAAAGACTAAATAAGAAAATCAGTCAAATAAAAGAAACACTAGTAAGAACTTCTAATTAAACACATCTTTTCTCAATACTAGATATACTAAATAGAGGCTTGCATTGAATTCTACAGATTGGCCTAACCTAGTTTGCAAAAATTTGCAAACTAGGCTAAGTTTAAAGCAAAATTTTATAATTACAGACCAGACTGGATCTAAAATTTTGCAAATTATATAAGAAATTTTGTAAGTTAGACTAGGTTGAAGAAAAAATTTAATATATGCAAACTAGGCTAAGCTGGCAAAAAAAATTTACCTCTAAATACAGGCCAAGCCAGATCTCAAAAATAAGCAATTTGCAGACTTTTAATACTAAACTCACAAATTTAAGCAGAACTAAAAAAGTTAGCAAACAGATAACAATGCTAATCAAAAGCAAACTAAATAGAATTAGGAAAAAAATCTATCAAATACTTTTATTTACACTTCAAAAGTAAAAACTTACACTTAGTAACAACAGAAATACAGATACTTTTAATTCAAAAACAACATAATAACAAGAAAATTTTAAATTATATTAAGAAACAATATACTATGTTTTATAATAAAAAAAACATTAATAATAATATAGTAGAACAAAATCACTAAAAAGTTTTTACAAGTCTCAGATTATATAAACAACAAGCTGACTAATCATATTTTTCAAAAAAAAATTTCAACAGTTATCAGATTACTATTAATAATAAATCTTTAAGACTGGATAGTCTCACTTATAACTTTTATAAGCTTATAAAAGAACTGATTATACTAATACTAGAACTGATTTTTAATTAGGTTTTAAATACAGATATAATGTCTTTATCATAATATAAAAACCTAATTATACTAATATCAAAAAAATCAACATACAAGCAAAAATATTCATTAACTCTTCCTAATGATCATTCGAACACAAAATAGCCTATATGCTTTTATAGATTACAAAGTTTTGGCTTTAGCTAAAATTAAACTGTTAACCTTGTCTATAGAAAAAGGAGTGCCTAGACTACTAAACTACAGAACCTATCTTTATTTTTTAAAATATTTTAAATTTTTTTATAATTTATTTAAATAATATTTATTTATATATATATCTATTTCTTTCAAAGCATTACATTGCTATAAACTATTCTTACTAGATTCTGACTAAAATATATTTATATAATATTACTAAGACTTTATTACTTAGCAATCAAGCAAGTAAAATAAAAAAAGTATATATATGCATATTTCTTAATACTTTTGTAATATTAAGATCTATAATGCATATTCTGCATGTTTTATTTCTAAATATAAAATTTTGATGTAAAGCATTTTGCATATTTCTCTTATTTTCTTTTTTTTTAATATAAAAAGAATATAAAAAATAGTAGTATTTAAAAGAATAATATAGAAATTTATATTTAGATTATTAAAAACTTTATATTATAACATATATTTTATTAATATTTTTTATTATATTGAATTTAGTAGCCAAGATTAAAGCTCTTTTATTACAAAAATTATTAGATATTCTTTATAAAGTATCTGTAATTTATTTGATAATAAAAGATAATACTTTTCTTTATATAATGATATATAAGAAATAGTCAACTAAGCAGTTATTTTATTATTAACAAAACTAACAAATTTTGAGCAAAAAACTAATATTACCACAGGTATAATGCAAATCAAATGTTTATTATTTATCTATATCTTCAATAATGAGTTTATAATAAATATATTTTTTAATTTTAATATATTATAGCTAAAATTAAAAAGTATTAGACTAAAAAAGTAATGTTTTTTAGATATTAAGAGTTTCTTCTTTTCTTTAACTATATATAACTATTTAGTTAAAATAATAATATCTAAAACATATTTAAAAACACATATGTGAAGATTGTATATAATTTATAAATTTAGATTAGACTAATGTACTGGTATTTTTTTATTACATCTACTGTAAATAAAGAGTAAATATATTAGTATTTATAAATTAAAAGCATTAAAGACATTAAATATAAAAAAAGAAATATCTCTAAATTATAGTTAGAAAAAAATAAAAGAAAATTTTTTTAATTTAAAGTATAAACTTAAAATAATTATTAAAAGTTTAATATTTTTTTTGTCTAATTAAATTTGCCAACTAACTATATACTTATATTCTTTATCAGAAACAAATATAAATTTTTATAGCTTTCTTAAACAAAATTTAATAAATATTATCTTTTCAAACTTTATATAAAAAGATTTCAAAGCAAATATAGTTTTAAATAATAACTCTGATATTGTAAAAAATTTAGAGTATAAACAAAAAAAATATTTTTATAGAACTATGTGAAAATATGAAGTTTGAATTTTCTAATTTAGTTATAATTAAGTATAATAAATTTGTAGAAAATTTTAATAATTCTAGTATATTTAAATCTTATAAAAAATAAATTTTATAATAAAAGATAAAAAAAAAGCAAAACTGAACTAGTAAAAGTAATAAAATATATTTTAGTATACTATAAATATTTTATTAAATTATTTATAAAAATATTTATAAAATGATAGCTAATATAATTGTTTAGTAATAAAATATAAAGAATGGCAATCCTAGTATAATAGTTGGATTGTCATTTTCTAAACAATAGGTCCAAAGTTCAAATCTTACTAGTAACAGAATTTTGAAAAATAATTCTATTCTGATAATTTTGACAAAGTATCTGAGATTGTAACTTTGTAATTCTGATTATATTAAGACTAACTTTGAAAATATACAATATTACACAAATAAATCTGAAAAGTATATACTCTATAAGAAACTCTGTTTAAAAATCCTAAATAGAAAGATAGTACAAAAATCTTGGTTCAAAAAAGAAAATCTAAAGCAGATAACTTGTATAGACAAGAACTTTTAAGTAAAAGAAGTTTACCAACTTGGCTATCAGTTAATTTAGACATGAAGTTACATTATATAAAGCTTACTAAATTAGTAGTATAAGAGAACTTGCAAGAATAGACAAGATACTAGTAAGATTGTAAAAGTAAATATTGAGATTATATGAACTCTACAAAGATATAGTAGTTTAATAATTAGCCCTAATTGCAAGTATTGATTTAGCTATAGTAAGTCTGAATAAGTTGTAAATAGAAATACAAAAGGTTTCAGAAGGTTTATTTTAAGAATAAATTAGTCTTAAGATTAAGATAAGGATCTAAAATAACTTAATAAAGTTGATACAGATTATAGGTTCAAAGAATTTAAATAAAACATTCAAACAAAAATATTAAATATAACAACTAGTGAGAAATCCTGAATGGACTTTTTAAATAGATAATATAAAAAAGTTACATATGTAGCCAGTTGTATACTCTTTTTGTAATAGTTTCTATAGAATTATATTA